GTAGTCAGGACGCGGATGTAGTCAGGACGCGGATGTAGTCAGGACGCGGATGTAGTTTCTCGTCATACTCAGGAGGCGGATGTAGTTTATCGTCATACACAGGACGCGGATGTAGTTTATCGTCATACACAGGACGCCGTGTAGTCAGGACACGGATGTAGTTAGGACGCGGATGTAGTTTATCGTCATACTCAGGACGCGGATGTAGTCAGGACGCGATGGAGTCAGGTCGCGGATGTAGTTAGGAAGCGGATGTAGTTTATCGTCATACACAGGAGGCGGATGTAGATTATCTTCATACACAGGACGCGGGTGTAGTCAGGACGCTAATGTAGTCAGGACGCGGATGAAGTCAGGAAGCGGATGTAGTTTATCGTCATACACAGGACGCGGATGTAGTTTATCGTCACACAGGACGCGGATGATGTAGTTTATCGTCGTCATACACAGGACGCCGATGTAGTCAGGACGCAGGACGCGGATGTTTTTTTTCGTCGGACGCGGATGTAGTTTATCGTCATACTCAGGACGCGGATGTAGTCAGGACGCGGATGTAGTTAGGACGCGGATGTAGTTTATCGTCATACACAGGACGCCGATGTAGTTTATCGTCATACACAGGACGCGGATGTAGTTTATCGACATACACAGGACGAGGGTGTAGTCAGGACGTGGATGTAGTTTATCGTCATACTCATGACGCGGATGTAGTTTATCGTCATACCCAGGACGCAGGTGTAGTTTATCGTCATACACAGGATGCGTGTATAGTCAGAACGCGGATGCAGTTTATCGTCATACTCAGGACGCGGATGTAGTTTATCGTCATACTCAGGACGCGGATGTAGTCAGGACGCGGATGTAGTTAGGAAGCGGATGTAGTTTATCCTGATACACAGGAGGCGGATGTAGATTATCGTTATACACAGGACGCGGGTGTAGTCAGGATGCGGATATAGTCAGGACGCGGGTGTAGTCAGGACGCGGATGTAGTCAGGACGCGGATGTAGTTTATTGTCATACTCAGGACGCGGATGTAGTTTATCGTCATACACAGGACGCGCGTGTGGTCAGGACGCGGATGTTTTTTTTTCGTCATACACAGAACACGGTGTAGTCAGGACGCGGACGTAGTCAGGACGCGGTCGTAGTTTATCTTCATACTCAGGACGCGGATGTAGTTTATCGTCATACTCAGGACGCGGATGTAGTCAGGACGCGGATGTAGTTAAGACGCGGATGTAGTCAGGACGCGGATGTAGTTAGGACGCGGATGTAGTTAGGACGCGGATGTAGTTAGGACGCGGATGTAGTTAGGACGCGGATGTAGTTTATCGTCATACCCAGGACGCGGATAGAGTTTAGATGAAAATGCATTCTATATTTATTGATATTTACCAAAGGTAACATAACTCAATACACAGCCCTTAAACAGTGATTGCTTAGTTTAGGTTATTTTACCCATAGTATTGTGCGATCAAATAAGAATCGAACCCACAGCGAAACTCGTACACGATTATTGGTTCCAGCACGTTTTAGGCGCATTGCCCTAAAGTTCGGTGATCTCAGATAGCTAAATGATTGTCTCAAACATTTCGATTACGATGTTGTACGAATCTTTCTGACAGTGGAATTTGCCTAACTGTCTTGAAAATCACCATTCCAAATCCAGGTTTTTGTGCTAGAACTTTAGTTGACTTCTGACACTGATGTAAACTACGTAGCAATTTCCGCTGTAGGGAAAATCAGCTTAGGATATTTACTAAGTTTTCCTTCGTAAGAAACAATGTTTCCCAAAGTGGGATTGGGGTCTACAAAGCCTATATTTTTTTTAATCATTTCAACATAAGCAAGATGATAAAACTACCAAGACGGAAGGGGCTACTGTAAGTGAAAGAGAGTGAAAGAAAAAACTTTAGAAGGAACCGGAAACCGCAATCCTAAACAGGAAATAAGATATAAACCCTGACTCCTGTTCAGAAGCCCAGGGAGGAATGTGAACCGGGCGATAGGCGCACTTATCTACTCAATAGTGAGGATAAAAATGTGAATAATTAATAAATAAAATTTCAGAGTCTGGGCGGTGACCTTAGAAGTATATAGAGTTGAAGTAGACTTTAGAAAGAATCGGAAACCAGATCCTAAACAGGAAACAAAGGATACACCTCTACTCCTGTCCAAAAAAATCCGGCACGAGTGTTAACTGGTCGATAGCTGAACCCATCTGCTACTATTGTGGGGAAAAATAAATAATTATTCAATAAAATTTCAGTGTCCAGGCTTCAGTTACTGCCAGGGGCTTGTACGCTATGAAAATCAGCATCTCAAATAGACTTGAACATCGACCACAGACACTTCTGAATTACGTATACGAAATTATCTCAGCTACAAGGCACCCCCAAATCTGTCTTAGAATATCTTATTAAAAAGCGGATTTTTTTTACTAGTGAGTCATGCCACTAACACTGGAATGTAAAAGAAAAAAAAAGAATTTTAATATATGGTAAACGGTGGAAATTTTGTTGTAATGTCAGAACAGGAATACCAAAATGTGAATCTACCCCAAAGAAATATATTTTCAAACGATTCTTTAAGAAATTCAATAATAATAATAATAATGATAATAATGATATAAACGTCTAAGACATGTCATTAAACAAATGGCATTCCAACAAAGTAGAATTCATTTTCTTTTATTATTATTTTTTTTACATTCCTTTACCAATTTCTTCCTTTTCTTTAATTTATTTATCGAGAACTACAATTGTTTACATAAGATTTACGCCCCCTACACCGATGTGTTGAATAGCATTCATTTTATATTAAGTAAAAACAACTGGCTGGATACGGAAAGAGGTATGCAATGTACGATTAGTGTGACGGGAGGGTGAAATAAGTATATCAACTTCCTCGGAAATTCATTGCAAAAGTCGGTAAAACCTACATTGACCTAGTCGGAATCTTCTTCTTCTTCTTCTTCATCCTCCTCCTCCTCCTTCTTCTTCTCCTCCTCCTCCTTCTTCTTCTCCTCCTCCTCCTTCTTCTTCTTCTTCTTCTTTTTCTTCTTCTTCTTCTTCACCACGTCGTCGTCGTCCTCCCCCTTCTTCTTCTTCTTCTTCTTATCTTCCTCCTCCTCCTTCTTCTCCTCCTCCTCCTCCTTCTTCTTCTTCTTCTCATCCTCCTCCTCCTCCTCCTTCTTCTTCTTCTTCTTCTTCTTCTTCTTTCTGTGGTTTCTCTTCATCACGTTTTAGCGATCATAGTTCTTCACAATTTCTTAATAAATTTTGTATTTTTGTCATGGCTTCGAAACCCTGCTTCGCCATTCATTCACTCAGACTCGCCAGGTAGGTAATGTGTTATTTTCCTCTCTACCTCTTGCCGCCAATCCGTCCTGTGAGTTTCAAATTTTCCAAGCCCTCTTTTCTCATAATGTCCCCTAGAAATTTCAACAGTCTTTTTCTTATGTTAATATATAAATGTCCTTTTTGTTTCTATTTTCTCTGAAGCTTTCTCATTACTAACATGTTCAGTCCATGGTATTCTCAGTATCCTTCTGTAGAATCACATTTCTGTTGCTTCAAGTCTCTTCTTGGATTGTTATTTCATAACAGTTCAGTACTCTTTTCTTTATTTCTAACTAAATTTTCCTGTTTCTTAACACTTTGCTTAACTTTTGGAAGGCATCTTTCGCTATCCCAATGAGCCTTCGGATTTCAATGTCGCATTTTCCGTCCTCTGTTAAAGCCAGTCAGTTATGTACCATGCGTGATACACGCTTATGCGATCATGTATCTTTCGATACATGACTGACGAGGAAGATTTTTTTTACCTGCAGTAGGTTCCCATTTCTTTCTGTGGTAGAATAGTTGCCATCCAAAGCTATAGAACTCGGTCTGTCCTGCTATTTACCCATAACTAGGGAGAGGTGAGAAGAAGCGGATTCATACCTTTCCCAAGGGTATTAGCACGTAAGTGAATGTAATCGATTCGATTGGTATTCGAACTCGGCTAATTCCCATATATTTAAATTGTATTTCTTTGATTTTGATATCCCAAATGTATAATTTTCGCTTTGGGTTTTTCCTTTTGTTAGCAACCATGCATTCTGTCTTCTTGTCGGACGGAATAACTTTATCTAATTACAAAAGTTAAGCAGCGTCCATTTTTATCAAAACTCAGTTGGGTATTCCCTTAAGAAAACCCATATTCTTGTAGTCTTGTGACAGACCGTACAGCGTTCAGTAAATATCGTCACAAGATCTACGAACATTTTGCCGGCCTCAACGGTGTTTTTAGAAGTATTAATCTACATACACTGAATCATGTTCTTAACCTTTATCTATATTATAGAAAAAAGGTTGATTCTGGCGAATTTGGATCTTCGTACCTGAAAAAAAAAACGGTTTTTGTTCCCTTGACACCGCTATTATTTTAACAACACTCACTTCTCTGCAATATTTATTGTTTTAAAAAGCGATGATTAGAATTGTAATAAAGCCTAAACCTTCGACGAAAGTCAATTTATATATTTTCTTTGTGTTTGAGAATTGACAACAAAAATATTAAACATTATTCCTTTATTACATTGTTTATTGGAATGGTTGGCAAAACATTGGCAAATTGCCAATTGATTCAAACTTTATAAAATGGTAAATATTAAAGATTTCCTTATAGTTGGTTCAAATATTTTTATAATTTATTAATGGTTTATAAAATGTATAGAATAAAACATTGTTTTCACGTTTATTTTTTTTACTAGCAGCATGGCCCGGCGTTGCCTGTGCTTGATTCAAAAATCATACGACTCATACAGCAATCGCTATCACTTGACTTAAAATATTTTTGCCCTTCCTTGCCTTTAAAGGAGTGCCCTTTGCCATGCTGATGTTGCTACATGCCTTACTTCTTCACACTGCGAATTTTTTCTAAGCTCTATACTAAACATTAAATCTCTTACGACAAAAGAATTAAACAAAATGAACACAAAACGATCATCTTTTGCTGATGTTGCTACATGCCTTACTTCTGCCTTTTATAGATAGAGATAAAATGGTAAATGATAAATATTGCCTTGCATTTGTCCTAATTCTATTACTTTTTAAAATGTTGTAAATATAACATTAATCTTGGAATTAAACAAGGTCCCGCCATTTCTATCAGGATCTAGTCATGACATATCATGTATACACGTGTGATATCAGACTGGTTACTTTCCAGGTTCTTATTAGTCAAGATGCCGCACGAACTTCACTTGCTCATTCTTGGCTACTAACGTTGGTCAATGATTTTTTTTTTAATCGCATCCAGTGCTACAATTATTATAGTTGTAACGGTAGTTTTATGGATGCACATTTTCCTGTTTCAATGCCATGATTCTTATATTTAATTATTTTATCATATTCTTTCTGAAAACTCGAGTCACCTTTCATATGGATGTCATGCATGGTGCCAAACCCGTTCAGGATTATGTCAACTGCTAGATGTATATTTATTTATTAAATCTAAGTTTTATTTATTTTTAAACTTAATTGAACTATATTCATTTGTAATCATTATTCCTTCTTTTTGAACTTTCCTATATTCAACACCGCAATTTGCTACGAAACCCAAATATCAGCCTGAAATCTAAAGTCATTTTCTTAAGTAGCATAATTAGATCGAGCTTTTTATATGAATGCCATGCAGGGCGCCAGATATATTAAGAAATAAGGAAGCTGTCAATTGTATACAACCGTTTTCTAAGATTAATGGTGTAAAAAGGCTTCGAGCGAGCGAAACCTGTGGGTCTTGGGAAATATCATCCTGCTTTGAACATTGTGGACTGGCGATTCAGAATTACAAAGAACTGTACCAGATAAAAGAAATACATCACTTGAGGACTACCAACAGCAGCAACAACTGAAACGAATAGCATATGCAATTCGAAGAGAAAATGAGCAATATATTGACATTCCACATTACTACAAATAAAAGGTTAGAAAGGAAACCTTTATTAACATTAGAAAGAGCGATAACTGCTACTGGACTTGAGAAATATGTTTTCCCACAAAAGTGTTTTAAGAGAAAGATTTTATAAATTTCACCCGACAGTATTACTGGTTGTTTGGTCAATAAATGCCAAATGTAGGGAAAAGGCTTTTTTTTCTTTTTTTTTTTACTCATGTTCACCCAATACAAAACCCAAGAGCCACTCAAGGTAGAGGGTTACTGCGTGTAGTTGTATTAGCTTAAGAAAGGACAAGCGTTAGGAGAATAGAGCTGAAGCAGACTTTAGAAGGAACTGGAAACCCAATCCTAAACAGGAAACAATGGATAAACATCTATTCCTGTTCAAAAAATCAGGAAGGAGTGTGAACCGGGCGATAGTTAAACCTTTCTACTCCTGTCAGGAAAGGAAAAACATGGTAATAATTACTGAATAAAATTTCAGATTTCAGGCGGAGACGTCATCAGTACAGAATTGAAGGAACCGGAAACCCAATCCTAAACAGGAAACAAGGGATAAACCTCTTGTCCCCAGGCGATAGGCGAACCTGTCTACCCCTATTAAGGTATTAAGAGAGCATCTTACCGGGACCCCCAGAAAGGTTTTTAGGTTTCAAGAAGCGATAAATACTTTGCATCGGACTTATAAAGACGAGTGCTGATTGGCGTATCGAATGTTATAAAACCAGACCGCAACCCCCTAAAAAAATATCATTAGCAATGATACTGCTATATCTTTGAGAAGGCATTTTTTTTTCTTGTTTAAAACAAAAAGCCTGGACTATTAGCTTTTATATGTATAATTGATGCAGTCCCAAAGAATAAACATCTCATGGCTTTGTACAAATGTTTCAAGGTGATGTTCAATCGATTTTCTGACATGCGTAGCACTGACATCTGTTGAATAGATTTCCCAGTCTTATCGATCTTTATATTTCATCTGTGTCGAGATTGGATGGACCAACACAAAATGGTCTATTGTCTCAACAGGCTGTTCATGTTATTTGTTATCTTCATATAATTCTGTTTGTTCCTTGGTTAGCCTGTACGTTACGTCTCTGATGAACGATAGGTCATCCCTATTTGATTGAGAAGATAGACAGAAGAAAAGATATATCAAAGGTGCTTTTTAGGGAAAGGGACGGAAATAAAAAAAAAGAAAGAAAGAAGGAAGGAAATAATAGGGAGAAAGAATAGGGAGAAAGAATAGGAAGATAAATGAAGTGATAACCCTCTCGTTTTTACCATCTGCTTCAGTGAAATGAAAAAAAAACTTGTCTATTTTCAATCGTTTGATTTGTATCCTCTTACTTCTTTAAATAATAGCCTGGATTTACACTTATGATTGTTATAATAATATTTTGTTAAAGATATGAAACTAAAATTTTTAAAGAGACAACAGGGGAACTTCCATGGAAATTTCGTAGTGGGGGGGGAATTCGCAATGAACTTATTCAATCGTTAATTTAAGTATTAAGATTCATCAAAATATCAAATAGGAAAACCGTGAAATTATCATGGATATTCCTAGTTGTTGTTGTTATTATTATTTTATTTGCTTTCATTTCTGGTGTCAACTTATTTCTTTCTGGGTCCCAACTAGAGACCTAAGGTCAGAAATAGCATTATGGCATTTTCACAGAGCATTTTTTTTTAAGTGAGGCAACTTAAGACAATGCATATTTTACATATATAAAGCCATTTGTAAGGTTTTAGCTGTAGCTTCAAGGAGTCTATAGGAAACTTCTTCTAATCAAACCAAGGGCTCCAACTAAAACTAGAATTATTAATGTCCTCATGCTCCACTTTTAGTTTTCTATTCAAAATCCTTGTATTTTGATGATTTTTTTCAAGATCTTTGAAGATATATTACAATCTGCAGGAAGTGCTATGTCAATAAAAAACGCACATTCTGTTCTTGTGGTGTTTGATCAGGACGTCATTTTAGCCTCGATTGTTTTGTCTGTATGGTACAGTTTCATAAAATGGTTACAGGTCATATGTCTGTAACCGGGGCTGCTACTACTACTACTATTATTATTATTATTATTATTATTATTATTATTTTCTTTGATTTCTGGCGTTTACATTTCTTTCCAGGTCCCCAGGGACCTAAGGTCGAAAATGGCATCATGACACTTTCCACTGACAAAAAAAAAAAAAAAAAAAATTTACATAGATAAAGCCCTTCGTAAAGTGTGGGCTGTACTTGTCAGAACAATTTTTTGTATCTCCTTGGGGCATGGGCTTCCAGGAATCCCTTCAATTAGTCTACTGCAATCTTTTCCAACCAGTCCTAGGGCTCCAACTACAACAGGGATTGTTGATGTTCCCATATGCCACATTTTCGAGATTTCTATTTCAAGGTCCTTGTATTTTGACAGCTTTTTGAATATCTTCAAAGATACATTGCAGTCAGCAGGGACTGCCATATCAATAAGGAGGCACCGTTTTTGTTTGTGGTCTTTAATAGCAATATCTGGGCGGTTGGCCTTGATTGTTCTGTCAGTGTGTATTGTATTATTATTATTATTATTATTATTATTATTATTTCTTACTGCGGGTGTAATTACAGCATTTGTCTCTGTTCAAAGAGTAACCTAATCTACCTCTCTGAATAACATGGCGTTTAAGCCGGAAGTAAAATCATTGTAATGAAACTATTAATATCCCAGAAGTCGATTTTACAACAGATAAAGCTTAGAACATCGCATAATAATGTTATACTTTTAAAAATTTCTCGGGCAATTTCAACACCAAATATCTCCGCCCTTAAGCAGAGACAAACATTACCCCACTGAATGAATATACATACGTTGTTCTAGAGTGCAGCTTCGATTCTAGGTTGAGAATAAGCAAAACACTGCCTTTTTTGGTTTACAAGGATCATAGTTCCCCCAGATATGATTTTCTGGTATTTGGGTTTTGACAAATCGACTCATATAGAACGTTTTTCTTTTCGTTCTTTCCACAAACGGAAGCCGAACAATGCGTCCTGTGAATCGAAAAAAGTAACGTCTCAAAGCGCGGAAGAATGTGCATTTGCCAGTGAGTGCTGCGGTCAGATGAAGTAAAAGAGGCCAAGAGAAATAAAATTGTTTAATGTCCAGGTGTTGCAGTCAAATCTAACCTAAACTCAGGTGATGAATGGAGAATTAAAAAAAAAAGTTCAAGTAAATAAATAAATCTGTGTCGGGCGGTTAACCGGGCGAATAATCTACTGTTCGGATTTTCTGCAGAAGGAAATAGTGCAGAACACTGAATTAGTTCTTTTTTTCACTTAACTGCACATCTTAAAGTTATAAAGTGTGGTTGGTTAGGTGGAGTTACTTCAAAGTCTACGCTTTCCATTAGCACAGCTAAAAAGAAAAGAAACTTGAATAGATTTTAAAAGATAGTGGGGGGGTTGAAAAAATAAAAGGAAACGGAAAGTGTGGGGGGAATAGGATAATAATAAATACATCTGACCTTTTTTTGCGTATAAAGATTCTCCTGAAAAAGTATGTAACACTGAGTTCAATTTATATTAAATTATCTAGATTTATAAATATCAAACATGCCGACACATAGAGAATTTATCCTTTAAAAGAAGCTAAAATGAGGATAGGCTTAGAAAAAGGAGCGGGGATTATAAAATGAATGGATATGAATAAAAGAATAAACATGTAGCGAGATAAGTTTGGAAAAATATGTTTTTAAAAAAAGTCGGGAGGGGAAACGAGGAAATATTAACACGTTAAAGAAATGGCAACGAGAAGAATACGATGAATAAAAGAGAAAAGTGGTTAGAAAGAATATGAAATAAACCGAATGGTATAAAGGATTAAGGTAAATCGAGACAGTAGATATGAGAAAGAAAGAAAGAAAGAAAGAAAGAAAGAAAGAAAGAAAGAAAGAAAGAAAGAAAGAAAGAAAGAAAGAATTTATGAAAATTGAGGTAGTATAGTTGAAAGGAGAAGAAAGAAAGAAAATGAAACAAAACCGACTCAGTAGAGATGAAATGGGAATAAAGAAA